AAATGGCGAAACTATATCAAACACTTAGTAAAAATTTAGCGAAACTAAAGGTTTAACCATTTTGCCAAATCCAAAATAAGTTTAGACAAGCAACCTTAATCACTATTATTATTATCATCATCATCTGAATCAGAAGATGTACATTAAAGGACTATTGGTTTAAGTGGCATAAAATAAGACTGAGTGAAATTAGATTGAGCTATCGCTCTATTTAGATAACTTTCTTTGTTAAGGCCCATTTTCCCACAAATTCCACATTTTCGTATGTATGCCTTTCTCTGAAATTGATCAGCTAACTGGTTTATAGTATCTTGAGTTTCGTTAATTTCTTCTTCCAATCTATCAATCCTATTAGAGACATTGCTTTATTATGGGCATGATCTTTAAAAGGTTTTACAGAATAATCAGAGTCTAAATCTTTCTTATTAAGTAGATTTACTTTTTTTAAGTATTTGGCTACATAATAATTCTTGAGACCTTCATTTATTTTCAGTAAAGATGGTGGACCTCTTAGCTATCTAATCATTTAATAGTTTGTGAAGTAGATACTTGTGTTTGCTAAGCCATTTGAGATTGTAATTCTGTAACTTTCTTTACTAATATCTGATTTTCAGTTTTTATTGTGCTAATACGTTCTGAATTGCTTTTTGCATATCTTTTAAAAATATTCATGCTGTTGTAAAGCTGAAATAGGCAAGATTCATATATTTGCCGAGATGCTCGATAAGATACTAGTGGGTTTGGTATACTATCTCTTTTATATCTTGCTATTCAGCGTAACTTTATTTCATAAAGCTTTTTAGCTAATTCATCTAATGGTAAATATTTGCTAATATTCTCAGCTTTTTCAAGCTATGGGAATAGAAAGGTATTTAAGAACTTCCTACGTAATTCTTCAGATCTATAGTTAGCTTTTTTACCTATTCGTAATATTTTCTATATAATTCATCTATAGTCATGTCTCCTTTTCTGATTGTTTCATTCATCAAATCCTGAAGTTCTTTTTCTATTATAGGAAATGAGTTTTCAGTCACCATATGGAAGCGTTTCCAGTAAAATCACATTACAGATCATATTATTTACTATACCTCATAACTTGATTTTACTGGAAATGCTTCCATATAGCTTGACCAAATTGAATATCTGCTACAACTACTGTAATTCCATTATCAGCATTTGGTATATTTACAGTAAGATAATCACCTGCTATACGCCAGTCTTTATTCCAAGAGTCTTCTACAACTCTTAATTTGATTATTACAGTTCCTGGTTGATCAAAAGCTTTATTTATTGTTGATTTCCTATTTGACCTGTGTTTTCTCATTTACTGCTACTAAGTTATCCTGTCCTGTATTATCAAGTAAGTTTGCTAATTTCTAATTCTGCTTTATAGTAATTTCTTCGTCAAACTATTCTAAGGCTCTTCTTCTCATACATCCTCTCAAATATATAGCTACTTCTCTTCTTGTGAGTGGACCTCCCACATTATCTGCTAGATCTACATCTTGATTTTGCAAATATAATCTAAGTTTTGCTAAAAAATCTGGAATACTATCATTCTAGTCAAAAAATGGTTGTGGGATTCTTACCATATTTATTTAATGTGATGCATTATTCTGTAATGCTAAAATTTATTCCTGTAAATTTAAAATATTCTAACGAGAATTTTTTTCTTTAGCCTTTCATTTCTCATATCGCTTATAAAGCCTGTCTCGATTATATTCTAATAAACCTATATCCCCTCTACTTTGTTGTAGGTGGTAGATATTTCGCTGATATAATAACTGTAAGGCAAATTTTCCTGTAGAAATATGCCTATATGGGTTCACTTTTCTATTATATTGTCTAACATTCTATTTACTTGATTTTGAGCATTGGTTTGCAACTGATAAAGGTCAGTAATAACCATTTGTTCCACTCTTCAGTATTTTGCCTTTATATAATTTCATTATCACGCTCAACCTTTGTATCATAGCACCTTCTTTACTCACAGACTAAATCCTAATGCAAATTATTCTTTTTTCTACATATCTGTCTTATCACCCTTTTTATTTGACCTATCAGAATATCTCTAGTCATTATTCTATTATTCACGTAGCCATCTATAGCATTCGTTAGCTCTATGATTATAGCTATTTCCAAGTCAATATTAGGATTATACAAGTTCAAAGAATTCCCTTGTTCTGGTAAATTTTTTCGTGATGAGATAATCCTGATTCGGCATCGCAATTTCTCAACTTTCTCTTCAGATTCTTCCAAGTGTTTTTCTAAATCAGAGATATAGTTTTCCTTATTTTGTACATCCTTCTTAGCCTGATATATCCAACTTTTAGGCTGGAGATTTCAGATTTCAACTCTACTATCTCTTCTTTCAAAGCATTTTTAAGACATTCTATCTTCTTATTAAGAGTCTGAATTTCTTATACACAGCGATCATAATCACGTTTCAGATCCCTAATTTGTTTCTCATTTTGATGATTAGTATCAATTTCTATTTGTAATTCACTACGAAGATGATTGTTCTTCTCCTCTAGCTTAGCTTTATATTCTTCACATATTCTTCTTTGCCTTGAATGAGACTTCCAAAATGCTATTCTTTTTTGTGATTATAAAAAAGAATGAGAGAAACTTTGATTTATATAGATCCTTAAAAAACGTGTGATTTTAACCAGGATCTTACTTTGCAGAAATATAAGGAAAAAAGTATCCTAACTAATGAGAAGAATCTGACTTCATAGATGCCAGCTCTTTTTTCGCCTCCAGCAGTTGCATCTTCAGATTTTTGATTTCATAACGCATTTTCTTATTTGCAGTGACCTGCTCTCTATATTCCTTTTTTTATGTCATACATAAATTTCCCAAAAGTTCATCTATTATAATCGAGCAGGTGCTAGGAAAGTATTTTAAGCTCATTTATAACCCAGCAATTATTCTCTTCTTCACGATCACAAGTGTTATTATCAGTTTGGAATCCATTATCTAGTAATTAAAGTTTTGATTTTTTCATTAAAGAATCAATGAAAAGGTTGATATAGGATAATGCTTTTACGATTGCCAAAGTGTGGTGGAACATGTGTTTCTACTGAATATATTAATGCTAGTATCCCAATGCGATGGCAATGTGCAAATAGTCATGAATGGACTGCAACTATTCATAATATTAAGTATGGTAAGAGATGGTACCCACATTGTGCAGGTAATAGACCTCTTACTATCAAAAATGCAAAGCAACTAGCTCGTAACAAAAATGGGCTATGTATCTCTACTGAATACATTAATGCCAATACTCCAATGCAATGACAGTATACGAAAGGTCATGTTTGGACTACAACTTTACATAGTATAAAAATCATAAGACATGGTGTCCACATTGCGCAAATAATAAGCCTTGTTCACTTGAAGATGCAAAGCAAGTGGCATGTAATAGAAATGGGCTATGTATTTCTACTGAATACATTAATGCTAATACTCCAATGCAATGGCGTTGTTCCGAAGAACATGAGTGGAATGCATCTTTTAATAATATAAAAAATGGTAAGAAATGGTGCCCACATTGCGCAGGTAATAGACCTC